ACACACACACACACACACACACACACACACAGAATCTGAAGCAGGCTCCAGGCTTCGAGCTATCAGCACAGCCCAGTGTGGGGCTCAAACTCACAAACTGCGAGATCATGACCTGAGCCAAAGTTGAACGCTTAACCGACTGAGCCAGCAAGGTGCCCAGATTTAATGCTCTTTATGTGCTCTCTGTTAATCACACTTTTTCTAAAGACCTCAAGATACAAATAAAAGCAAAATAAAGGTGCAAAGTATAAACTTCAAATAAGGTGAAGTTTCTTTAAATGGTATATGTCAGTTGAAATTTAATGTGCAAAGCATGACTTTGTAAATCTTTGTAAAGATAGGAGGTAAAAGATCTCTGTAAGTTGAAAAAGTTAATAATTACAAGTCCCATTTAGTAGCTTTGTAGTCCTTGGTTATTTATAGTTAGCACAGTGCTTCTCAAACCTAATTGTGCATAAAAATCATAGATTCCTGGGCTTCATCCTAGTGAATGAGAATCTCTATGGAATAAGGCCCAAGATTGGCATTGTTAGTTTCCAAAACTCTCTGAGTGGGAATTCTTCTAGCTGTGCAGGAGTGGCGGCCAGATTGCTCTGCCACCCCAAGCAACTTGAGCACTGGACAAATTATAGGAAGCAGTTATATTCAGACACATACAACAGGCAGTACAAGACTGTGATCCATGAGAACAAGTTAAGAAAAGTCCTGCTTGGGTCCACACGTGTCCTGTAGGGAGGTTTCAGATGGTGGTACAGGGGAAATGAATCCAGATAGAGCTGGGAACCGGGAACTAGTTGGGTCTGAAGAGACCCAGATCAGCATTCAGGAAGAATGAGAGAGCTAGAATTTGCAGGGCAGAGGACCTGGGAGAAGGGAGCTACACAGAGGAAGGGTCTAGAACTCTGCAGAGGCATCCCTGTGAGTCTTTGCTTAAATGCCAGTCACAGGGTGAATTCTCACAAGGCTGCATGAACAATTTTCAGGAAATAGAATTACCAGGGAGCTGTTAAGCAAACACTTCCCATAGTTCACACAGGGCAGGGAGTCGTTTGAGTTGTCACTGGTCACCATGGAGAAATCTTGCAATACTTGGAACATTCATTAGAGACCCCTAAGGGGCACACCATGAAGTAGAACTAAATAGCAGCTCTTGAGTAAACACTATGCTAGACCTACCTTAAAAGACCTTAAAAATAAAGCTCAAAAAGACCTAGGAGATCCATGAGTAACTGGGGTACTCAACCTCTCAAATACTTCTCAGTGACTTTCACCTCCTGGTAGTCACACTCTTATGGAACCATGTTGGCTGGACTTCCTGACTCACTTCTGATGAATAGAGTGTGGCAAAAGGCATGGGATGTCACTTACAAGGTAAGGTTATAAAAAGATTAGCTATGTCTTGAGGACCCCTCTTGCTAACTCTTAGATCTAGTCACTCCAGTGAATAATTTAAAATTGAAATACTGGGGCGCCAGGGTGGCTCAGTGGGTTAAGTGTCTGACTTAGACTGGGGTCATGATCTCACAGTTCATGAGTTTGAGCCCCGTGTCGGGCTCTATGCTGACAGCTCAGAGCCTGGAGCCCGCTTCGGATTCTGTGTCTCCCTCTCTCTTTGCCCCTCCCCCTGCTCGCACTCTGTCTCTCTCTCTCAAAAATAAATAAACATTAAAAAAAATTTTTAATTGGAATACTTAGCAATACATTTAACAAAATACTGTGCAAGATCTGTACAGTGCAAAGTATAAAACATTGCTGAGAGAAATTAAGTAATAAATGGAGAGATATATTCATGGATTGGAAGACTCGTTGTTATTATCTTACAGTTCTCCCTTACGTTGATCTGTAGATTCAGCACAATCCCAATGACAGTCCTGCATGCTATTTTGTAGAAATTGATAATAAAAATTTAAATTTATATGGAAATTCAAAGGACCCTGAATATCCAGAGCATCTGGGGGATAAAAAAGGAAACAAATTTGGAGGACTTATACTACCTGATTACAACACTTACAGTAATCAAGACAGTGTGGTACCAACCTAGTTTGTTTATTTATTCATTTTTACAAAGTCTTTATTAAGCTGGTAAACTCCCCATCCCACAAATAACTAGAGTACCAGAAGTTGCAGTTATTGACGTAAGTTTAAACATAGACATTAGATCAGCAGAATAGATAGAAAATCCAGCAATAGGTCAGTTGATTTTCAACAAAGGTGCCCAGGTAATTCAATGGAGAGGGATAGCCTTCCCAACAAAGGATTCTGGAACAGCTAGAATCAACATGGGGAAAGAATAACCACAACCATTACCTCAAGGCATGTATAAAAACTGAAACTGGGGCTCCTGGGTGGATAAGTTGGTTAAGTGTCCGACTTTTAATTTCAGCTTAGGTCATGCTCTCACAGTTCATGAGTTTGAACCCCGCATCGGGCTCTATGCTGACAGTGCAGAGCCTGCTTGGGATTCTGTCTCTCTCCCTCTCTCTCTGCCCTTCCCCCATGGTCTCTCTTTCTCTCTCAAAATAAACTTAAAAAAAAAAAACAAAAACAAAAAAACCTGAAATTGACTGTAGACCTAAATGTACATGCTAAAGCTACAAAACTTCTAAATGAAAACATTAGAGAAAATCATCCTGACCTTGGAGAAGGCCAGGATTTCTAATTTAGGACACAAAAAGAATGAATTATAAAATGAAAGTAATAAATTGGGCATCAATATTTGAAACTGCTCTGAGAGATAATTAAGAAATGAAAGACTGGAGGGGTGCCTGGGTGGCTCAGTCAGTTGAGTGTCTGACTTCAGCTCGGGTCATGATCTCACAGTTTGTGAGTTCGAGCCCCACATTGGCCTCTGTGCTGACATCTTAGAGCCTGGAGCCCACTTCTAATTCTGTATCTCTCTCTCTCTCTCTCTCTCTCTCTCTCTCTCTGCTCCTTCCCCGCTCATGCTCTGTCTCTCTCCTTCAAAAAAAAAACAAAACAAAACAAAACAAAAAAAACATTAAGAGATGAAAGACTGGGGAGAATATGATTGCAATACATTTATCTGTCAAAACACTTGTATTCCAAGATGTATTTGTCTTCTTGATCGAAGACAAACCAGTAAATAGCAGACAAAAGATTTTAACGTTTATTTATTTATTTTTGAGAGAGAGAGAGAGAGAG